GGTTCGTTTTCCTTATTTTCGGTATTTGTTGCAACGACTTCTTTCAACTGCATACTCTTATTCATTGCTTGTTTCTGCTTTGACAGCCTCGAAGTACCCTAAAAACTAGAAGGTGGATCTCTTCAGATCAAAAATCTTAGGGTAAAATACCTCGATGGTCTGTGACACGTTGACTGTCTTTCCGAATGCAACTGTTTTCTTCCTCAAATTGAGTCTAGCTGGTACCGCCGACTGAGTAGTTTTTGTTAAACAGGATTTCCTTGGATGCGCGTCCTCGTCACTTTTATTGAGCCCCTTCTTAGCTGGCTTTCAACACCCGTTGATCAGGCTGTGCAACGCAGGACGATGTGGTTTCCGATGCCGAACGAACTCTAGAACCACGTTCGGCCACCGGAGATAGTGGAGGTAATGAAGAAGCAGCTACTTTGCCGGAGTTTGTCGTATGACTTGGTACACTAAAACAATATAACACAATGGGTTTTAGTGGTTTAGAAATGGAGTCAGTCGGGCACATGGTTAGTGAAAAGACACTCTAAGGGCTGGTGTCAGAGTCCGCGATCCGTCGCGCGGTTTCGCGCGATTCGCAAAAATCGCAAGTGCCCATTTGAACATTTGAAACACTGAATATGAAACAAGTAGAATCATGAACAGTCGTCATTCAGCCATCACCATCAAGCAGAAATGGCGGCGGGATTGGAGAGCACCTTGCAGTATTGATCGGGCACTTGTGATTTCTGTGACCCGTCGCGCGAATCGCGCGAAACCTGCGACGGATCGCGGACTCTGACACCAGCCTAAGGCGGTCCAGGACATCACCTCAACCAACCACCTCCCCAACGAACTAGCGTAAGTTCAGACCGCCTAGCAGCATCTTCTCACCACTGACGTATAGAAATAGTCCACTACCAAATACGGTAATAATAGAACTCGAAATGAACTCACCTTGGTGCCTTTGCACTAACACCCTCTATGGGAACTGTATACGGTATAAAATTAGCTGGTTCGATTATGGGGGCTCGTGATAAACCGGCTGAAAAATAACTCTCAGAAAACAAATTAATGTAACATATGCAATGAAAATTGGGCATTATTCCACTATGCGGACCACAAGATCCAAATTTCTTATTTCTGTTCGTCTAACCGGAATGTGGTGCCCTAAAAACGAAAGTGACATTCATTTTTGGCCCCGGAATTTGGGGGAAACGGTCAACAGAATCGATGGCTCGTCGCGCCACCGCGTGCGGCCAATCGTGCGGCGAGGGGGCGGAGCCTTCAGGACGAGTGTTGTCTATATCGACTTCTGAGTAGGATGGCGATCTTCATACTCTCTCTTTGTGACTAGTAGGATGTTTTACAGCGTGAAACTTAAAGTGGGTAGACTTACTCCTCCAAACTATGATGACCGTGCCTTTCTAAAATACACTGTTCATCATTTTAACCACCTGTGATTCAATACTATTTGTTCTTTGGTAATTGCAGAGCTTAAGAACTGGAAATTCTTCTTTGACACGGTTTCCCTAACTTATATCTTGAATTATTCATATCAAATTTTAACTAACAGATGTAAGTGGTTATTAATAAACGAAAGAACTTCTTTTCAGTTACCAAGACTTATGCTCTTCCAACCACTCCTTGAAAATGAGTAGCGAGTACTACCCACGTGCTTACGAGGCAACAGAGCTGACGCTCGCTACTAGTTTTCCAGTAAGAGTTATGTGGATGCTATGAACAAAAATTGTTGCATCGAGTCATATATATCGCGGCTTATCGCAACCTTTCTGGGGCTCTAAACAACAAATTCAAACGAAATCTCAATTGGATTCTCCTCACTGGACATTTCTGTTGTTTGTCCGAGCAATGAAGATCTTGTGCGACCTAGTCCTAAAGACAAGAGCCTGAGGCGAAGCCGCCAGCACCATACGTGTAATTGGTTATATCTGGGGAAAACAATGGTTACAGAACCTGTCCCAAGGTACTTTGCCGTGATGACTGCAACACTATGTTGACTCGAAACAATTCTTTTAATAGTCAACTATTATATATTCGCAGGAATAAGACCTAAAAAACTTCGTCTGCTATCATCTGGGTTGGCATCATAATGTTGACTCAACTTATATGGAACATCTGTTCCAGACTAATTTTGTTTGAACAAAGCCAGAGTGAACGATTCATCCTGAACATCTTTTTTATGACCACATTCAAAAATTCAGCGTGTTTAGAGCGTGTAAGAGCTGAATCACGATTGCGCATCGAAGCAAATACCTCAATAGTTTGGCTTACAGCAAAAGGAAGAAGTCGAAACTTTGACTCTCAATTCTTTTAGACATCAGAATAATTCAAGTTATTTGTCCAGGAAACACACCTAATCAGAGCAAAGATAGGATCACCTTACTGGTCGTCGTAGTTCTTTATTTTGTTCGCTACCACACGGTTCTCATAGAGAAAATGTGTTTGTAAAATAATGGCGCTGTTTAGAGACACTGTGAGTGAAACTTAGTAGTAGTGTAGACAAATTATATTCATGTTTTGATCACAAAGCCCAAAAAGCTACATGCTTATTATAGATTTAGATAAGGAACAACTACAATATTAAGATAGCTAATGAAAGTGACTGTATCCTTGCTCCGAAGTAGAACACGTAGGGTTCAACAATTAGAAATTCCGCTGAACAGTCATTCACAATCACAGTCATCGGAATGCTCAGAAAGTCCCACGCCATTAGTACATCCGATATCTGGCAATGGACACGCCCACCCGCCGCGCCGTCGTGGCCACGCCTACTGGCGCGGCGATCCCATCGATTCTGTTGACACGGAGCCCTCAACAGTACGCCACTTCTTGCGACGACAGCTGCTTTCAGCGAATACAGTGATATTTTCTGCTCTTCTGGACTCTGTCTTACAGTGCCTATGGCTAAGCTCATGATTAGTGGGAATGGAGGGAGATATTCGGATAGGTAAACTATGCACCGTGAGGTAAACTTGAAGTGTGTTGAATAGGCAGCGGGTGAACGGCGTTACTCACGCTGAGCTTTCCTCCTACAACGTAGGCTTACGGCTCTCCATCGGACCCCGCATCAGAGAGGCGGAGATGACAGGAAATCAGGCGCAAAATGGCGCTAAGCAATGAATGTTTTAGTTATCAGGGACTACCCACTCACAATAGGCGGAGTGTTTGATGGATATCACAACTACGAGCTTGAGGATGATAGTCGTGGACAGTGATATTTTTTTCGTGAAAACTCACGTGGCACCACGTAAGAAATTAGTGAGCACCTTGGGCCATCATCGGCACCATTCATTACCCGATAGACAACGTGCTGAAATTGTTAGTGTACACCTGTAAAAATGGAACCTATTTCCACCCCGTTTCCGAAAACCTGAATCTCATCAAGGGCAGACCACACAATCCAAGTGACGCCCCCCACCAAAAATGTAAAATTTTTTTTCTGCCAACGAAACGAATAGCTGGTAGCAATTCTATTCCAGCTCTTGTCCCTATTCCAATTATCACTTCCTAGTAATAGACAGCATATTCAAACATATACCCTTGTAAGGTCTTTTTTCACTAGCACAGCCGAAAATTTGAACATGTTCAACAGATTAACATGACTGTATAAAGAAATACTGCAACTGCATAATAATAAACCGTATCCAAATCAACGGGTGGATTACCAAAGGCGTAAATCTACCCCAAAACTCCACTCGACAATGGTCAGTCATTAAATTTGGATGATACTTATATGGGCTCATTCCAAAAAATGTGAAAACGACACCTGCTCATCCTCCCGAGCTTTCTTTCTCATGATCTCAGTTTCCTTTTTCGTTCACACACGTAAGTAATTTATAACGACTAATTGGACCAATTACCCTATCTGGTCACCACAAGGCATCAAAAACAAAGAAACACAAGGAACCTATCGAGTTAATAAAACTCTGATAAAAGCTATACCGTATAGTTGATCAAGGTTTATAACAGATGAGTCAAATTAGCTATTTGAGGAAAACAAATAGAAAGGTTCATATAATTGAAGAAATGGCACAGGAAGACTGCGAAAAAGATACAAAAGAAATCATGACGAATATTAGTGATCTACCAGTATTTAGCATTACCCACAACACTCAGGTACAGGTAAATCGAACCCCCAAGAAGAATAATATTGAACAAACCCCAAAATCAGTATGCAAATCTACCCAAAAATTGCTTCACATCAGGATCTGAAATGAAATAAGAGAGCAATATTCGCATTTAGGAAAGGGGGTCAACAAGTATTTCAAAAATTAACTTACAGATAGATGCTTCTCAATTGAAAAGGCAAGTAATTGTACGAAAATCATAAAGCCGTAAATGTCAATGAACCCGAAGATGAGAATGAGTGTATATATGGCCGGAAATGAAAAGATAATGCATGACGTGAAAAGCTATTTAGCACTATAACTTATGCATATTCTACCGTTTACAAAAGAAAATCTCACGCGAAACAAATCAGTGCCTAGCCTAATTTACAGCTGTCTGGAAGCAAAAAATGTGTCTCAACACAAAATACAGCAATTCTACATCATAAGAAACGTAAATGTAACGAGCATGCAAATAAACCAGTGCGTTTTTTGAAGTTGCACAACAAGTAAACCCATAATTTTACAACTAGAAATGGTTACAAATGACGGTTAAGATTACCACGTAAACGGAAACTATTACTTAAGAAAACGACTTTTACTCAGCACTGTCCCATTCTGGACTATCAGTGAACTCCAAACGACGTGGCGCCAAAAGTGGAGTCTTTGCAGTAGGGCTGATCGCAACTTCTGTTGTCTCAATCTCAGTGCACACCTGAATCTGTCAGTAAGAAAAAGCAAATGAGTTTTTGTCCTATGGAATGAATTACGGCTAAATCAGTGCTTCCACTAGCATGCATTACGACTAATTTAAGCAATTCAGATACGAAATTTGTCACGTTGTCAATGCTTGTGGTAGAAGGGCCACAATTAATTTGTGGATTTAAGATCCATCTTTGACCGTGCCCCGAATCGAGGCTTTCGTAAAGATTGAGCCTCTCAGACTCATTTCCCCATAAGTTCTTAGCTGGCAATGTTAGAACCGGTGACTCCGAGGAGTCATCAAGTTTTCAACTAGAGCGGTTCCAACGAATC